TGGGCAGCAATGCACGCGATGCACGGGACCGCCACCAAGTAACAACCGGATTCAAGATGGAGTAGAAGGTAGAAAGCAGTCGTAGGTGGCCATGTAGAAGCCACCATACAAAGGGCTTCCCCGGCGCTCGACCCCCAGAGCGGGGTCGGCGGACTGTCACTCTTTCTGTGACTTCTATCTTCCTATTACAGGTACCGTCACCGTGATGGTTACAATCAAAAGCTAGTGTTACATATTTTCTATAAGAGGCCTTGTTTCTGGGTGGGGGTATACTTAGTCCTGAACCTTAAATGCTATGGTAGTTTCTATTTCCAACCTTGTACATCAGTATACACCCCTACATAATCCCATGAAGGGCGTGTTGTTGTTAATATGAACAGCGTGTAAACTCTTAATTAAACACCTGTACGAGCACATTTCCCGTTACGTTTTCCTTCACATTCTCTACTATTATGCGTGAAATCTTTAAACTCTAAACCTTAGTATGAAGCTTGGAGGGTCAGGGGAACTTAGTAAGTCTATTTATCACCCCGAGAAGCCATCTAACAAGCCTAACTATCGCCATTATTAACCTACTTACCGCAGTCCCCCTGAACCCCCCCTGGGAAAATATGTGGAACCCTACACCCTGAACCCTAAACCCTAAACCGCACACACATTGTCCGAGGCTATCTTGGAGCAGGTGTCGGATCAGCATTTCGGCTGCACACGGTATGTTGAGGGATTTCAGGTCTTTTGAGGGTTTAGGGACGGGGAGACTTACCAGGGAGTTGAGAGCGTAGGGTTCAGGGATGTAGGAATTTAGGATTCGGGGTTGAGGCCCTTTGGTTTTAGGGTTTAAGAGGGTGTGAGGGGCTTGAATGGATTTTGAGAGTTGAGGACTCGGGCTTTGCAAATTTAGGTTTATGAGTGTCGAGGACTAGGAGTCTATGGCTTTGGGTTTAGAGTGCTGGGATCTGGGATTCAGGATATGGATTTAAGGTCTAAGGAGCCGTCTGTGAGTACTGGGACGGACTGCAATAAGGACATAGCATTCTGGTTTCAGGTTCGGGGTTCAGGGTTTAGGGTTTCAATTTTGACGTTCTGGGCTTCAAGGTTTGGGGTTGAGGTTTGGGTTTTGGGATTTGAAGTTTATTGCTGGGTTGAGTTCACATTGTTGGGAGGTATGCTTGGAGGCTGCAAACCTGGGAAAGGGTCCCCTGCCACCCGGCAGCTACTTGCCAAGGATGAATAAGCAGCTGGGTAAGCGCCTGACATCGGCCCCACCAGGCTTGGAAAGGCCAGAGGACATCTGTACCCAAAAGGAGGACAGCCTGATTCGAATGAACTCAAGACTTCAAGCCGTTGAGGAGTTCATGACCCAGAGGCCCCATTGTGTCACTAAAGCCCCTTCCGCCGGGTACGTGGATGCGGGGGATGGAGCTCGCTGCAGCAAGTCAGTCTGAGGAGGTTTCCAGAGCCCCGCTTGAGGATTAGGTAGGGATTGCTTCCAGAAACGCCTCGTCGGGGATAATCAGATCTGCATAACATGTTGGTAGAAGCCCAATACTCTGGCCATGTTTACCGGGACACCCTGTTAGCCATGCTATGAACATGTAAGATATGCTCCTATGTTACGTATGTATTGCGCTATCGGGGTGAAAGCACGTTCCAGAGGGATCTCAAGAACCCCCCGGGTTATCGAGGGCTTAGGCTTCTCGCTTCGAGAGGAGGGGTGGTGGCTTGGGCGTGATCCCGGATGCTTTTTGGTGCAGCTGGAGACAAGTTTGTAGGAAGAAAGGTACCCATTATGGTTTAGGGTTTAGGGTCTAGACCTGAGAAGCTGCTGAGACGGAGATGTGCGGGCAAAACTCCGTGGAGAGCAAGCGGTCGAAGGAAAGCCTGCGGGACTGTCTTTCATGGCCAGGGAGGCGCGGGCAGGCGTGATCGCTCGGCAATGAACCTGTCGTGGCCACAAATCCTCCGTGCACAAAGGGGCTCGACTCTGAATCCTCCGTCAAAAGGAAGAGTTTCAACCCTGAGCCCTAAACTATACAGGAAGCAAAGCAACTCGAGGAAATCTATTCTCCAGTATGTTCCCTTGTTGACAATGTCTGGTATCCTGAAACTTTCTTGCAAGGGCAAAGCCCTAAGCCTGGACCCCCAAAATTCTCAGCCTCAGGCTGCGAGCCTCTTCATGACATCTTTGCATCAAAATCGGTTTAGGGTCTAGGGTCTATCTAAGTAGATAGAATATGGGGGTTATATAGGGATAATGGAAAAGAAAATGGAAACTACTATTTAGGGCTTAGGGTTTTGAATTATGGTCCCCCTTAAGTAGATAGACTATGGGATATATGGGAGCTTTTTATAATATGCCCAAAGCCATATTCTATCTACTTAAAGGGGGACTATAAATCTCCAGGAGACCCTAGACATCAACCTCAATGTCTCAAGCAGTTGACCCTCAAGACTGAAACATACCCTTATCAAAACTCACATTGGGCATGATACGTAGTGGAGCTTATAAGGACTACTGTCCGCTTCAAAGTGGGCCATATGGAGTTCCATGTTTTGGTGGAGGATAGTTACTACCGAACATCCTGAAACCTACACGTTGGCCTCCAAACCACAAGCCCTAACTCCTAAACTCCAAAACCCTAAACCCTATTGGGGTTCTGGTTTAGACTTTTGACTTCTAAACCCTAAACCCTAANNAAACCCTCAGGGCTCTGGGTTGCAAGGATTTTCCACCTGGAGAATCGCGAGTGCAGTGCCATCCGGAAGCAGCTTATCCATCTCGAGGCCCGAAACAGAATATAGGGTTGCTGTTAAGGAACTT